TATTATTTATTTAATATATTATTACATGTTTTCAAAAATTAAACCACCAAACGCAGTTTCAGTTTTTTTTAAAACTGAAATCAATCTCTAAATAAAACTACCAAACGCATTTTTAGAAATAATTCAAAAATAAAACTAAAAACGTTTTCATTTTCATTTTCGTACAGAAAATAAAAACGTTTTGGAACCAATTCCAAACGCACCCCTTGTATTTTTGAGAAGTCAAATTTGAAATTAATCCTACATTGTGTTTTACTTCGTTCCTCTGGACGAAATTAGTAAACAACATAGGGTAAAACAACCAAATACATATGACCCAATCTAGGATTGGATTTCTCGTAAAATGGAATGAGTAAATATTTTCGTACGCTTTTAACGTGATCAAACTTTCAAATTGTATTAGATTTTTTGCTGTACTAAAATGGCATTAGGTTACGCGTACAATCTTGATTCTTGATTAGAGGCTTCACGTGCATTTGTAAATACTAAATTATAGAAACGTAGGTATGAGTGCAAGCCGGCCACGAACAAAAAATCACAAGAAACGGCTGGAACACGACACACAACTAGATTATGGATTCGTTTTCCCTTAGTTAAGCAACATGCATTGAGGAATTATAAAATAAAGACACTTAACTAAACACAAGAAAATTCAACTATATAACTCCTGATGACGACACCTTTACTTCACAACATAACTCAAGAAACAATTTAATGGGCAACAAAATAAACACCCAAAAACTAAATTATACAACCATTGTTGACTAAACACCTTTACTTCAACTTAAATTAATAATTCCACTATTGAAACAGCTTAGCACTGTGATTGTGAATCTCAACATATAAAGTTTTGTGCTTCCTACTACTTTATTTTGAATTTCCGATCTGAGAGATTTTATCCTCAGCGTTGGGAAGAAAAAAAAAATACTAATACAACAATGTGGGAACTCATTGGATGGTCAAAAATTTTTCAGTATTTTTTCACTTGATACACCGTCTGCAACAAGAATTGAGGTAACTTCCTGCAAGAGAAGAAAGTTTTGACATTACTTCTTGTATCTTAATGGACTTCCAATAAGAAGTGCGTGCATTTTCCGAAATACCAAAATCCAAATGACAAAACGAATAACCATGAAAATAAACAAGGACCCTGCGTTTGCTCTCCTAGACTCCACGAGCACAAACATGCTCATAGTCACAAAGGCATTAGCAAATTTAACAAACAAACCAAAAGGAAATCAATGACAAACCTCTGTCATTTGCTTCTGCCCGCAGAGAACAACCCCTGTGGAGAGAGGGTTAAAACTTTGCTTAGCTCTCCTAAAAGCGGCCTGCAAAAGAAATTACAGAAGTGTTAATTGGTTGTTGTAAGTAAGACGACTAGAAATCTTTAATGCTACGAACATGGCACGGTCACACTCTACCTGCACATAACCGGTTTCACCCTTCCAATCATCTCCTGGTTGTGATAATACTGGCACAATCCTAACACCAGAAGATTCCCAATCTTTAAATCTATCCTGCAAGAGGAGAATCGGAAGCTTCAAAACCATATACAATTAAGACAACAAGAATAGCTGATTTGATGCGAAAATAAATGCTTAACAAACCTGATACGCCATTCTCTGATGATTTCTAGCCCCATAATATAGCCTGACATCAGATCTCTTGCTGGCACTAAATCCTGACTCAATGAGAGACCGGATCGGACTGCATATAAGAATGTCAAGTAGTTAATGAGAAAATTGATAGAAACCAGAAGGAAATTGAAATATAAAGGGAAACTGATAATGGATTGTATTGATAATTCTCTGATGAAATGTTTATAACAAGATAGATGTTGGATTTTCGAGAGATCCAACCCTCTCCCACGAGACTCTCACTCATTGCCTATCTCTCCTCATAACAAACCTTGCCTTTATTCTAACTGAAACTCACAGATCCCCATACATCATACCATAACTTCCCAAAATAACCCTACCGCCAAAAATACCAATTTCTCAGCTCACAACCCACGTGCTCTGCATGCTCACCCTCCACTCACGTGCTTTGCACGTCTAGCATAGGTAAACGTATTGGGGGCTTATCATTACTCCCTGCCCAAAGAGACACCTTGTCCTCAAGGTGGAACTCCAGAAATTGACCGAGGATCAACTCATAAGGCTCCCAAGTGGCTTCAAAAGCAGGCAGCCCCTTCCACATAATGAGAACTTTCAATCCAGAGAGTGCACCCCCTTTAGCCTGACACAGTCCAAGCAACGCCTCGGGAACAACCAGCAGCTCAAATCCTCAGAGAGATTGGAAGGTAAGGGAATGGCAACTGCAACAGGTCCTAGGGACCGACGGAGTTGAGAAACATGAAAGACAGGATGGATGACAGCGCCTTTGGGCAGCTTGTAGCGACTTGGCCGACGCGGTCCAGGACTTTGTAAGGCCCATAGTAGCTGGTAGCATGCTTCTCATTTGGGCGTGAGGCTAGAGACTTGCGCCTACGGGCAAAGCTTGAGATACACCATGTCCCCAATGGCGAATTGGAGTTCCCGTCAGTGGCCATCTGCACTTTTCTTCATTTGTTGTTGCAAACGATGGAACTGGTCCTTTAACTGGTCCAGCACGGCGTCACGGGTTTGCAGTTGCAAGTCCAACCACAAAGCACAATAGGGGCGGCGGATCACGGCCGTAGACAGCGCGAAAAGGGGTGGTCTTGGTGGCGGTGTGGAAAGAGGTGTTATACCAATACTCTGCCCAAGGCAACCAACGCCCACGACCTAGGCTTTGCTGTCGCAAAGCAACGTACGTATGTCTCAACATTGCGATTTACTACCTCCGGCTCCGATTGGCCATCTGTTTGAGGGTGGTATGCGGAGCTATGTTTCAGCGTGCAGCCTTGGAGTTTGAAAAGTCCAAAACTTGCTCATGAACACCTTGTCGCGGTCCGACACAATGGAGTTGGGAATGCCAAGAAGTCGGACCACCTCCTGCACAAAGAGGTCAACAACTGTCTGAGCAAAGTAGGGGTGGCGAAGGCTGATGAAATGTGCGTACTTACTCAAACGATCCATAACAACCAGCACAGTGTCCACCAACTCCGATTTGGGAAGGCCCTTAATAAAGTCCATTGCGATGTCCTCCCACACTTGCTCCGGTATAGACAAAGGCTACAGTAAGCCCCCGGGTTTAAGAGCTTCAAACTTGCATACCACATACTGTTGTATACCCCGCTTCATTCCTTCCCAATAAAAGGTGGAGGAAACGAGCTTGAGGATCTTCAAAAACCCCGAGTGCCCTCCCAATGCCCCATCATGAAGCTCATGTAAGACCACAACCAAGGGAGAAGAACGGGGCAAGGCAAGGCGGTTCTTGTACAGCAACCGCCCATGCACCAAAGTATACCCAGGTTGGGGGGGTGTCTCCTCGCAACAACGCAGCCTTGATGAGATCAAGCTTCGGGCAGCGTCCACCTGGGCGTCCACCTCATCCAATTGTACCGTGCGCGGAATGAATAGGGCCATCAAGGATGCTGCCGACACAGCATGATAGCGCATAAGCCACCTTGTTCCCAAGGCCCGGCTTGTACTCAATGTCAAAGTCATACCCCATCAGTTTGGCGAGCCACTTCTGATGTTCCATGCTGACCAAACGCTGTTCAAGTAAATACTTCAAGCTCCGTTGGTTTGTGCGGACCAGAAATTTGCGCCCCAAAAGATAATGCGGCCATTTTTGCACTGCAAGAACGATGGCCATGAGCTCGCGCTCATATACCGATTTCAACCATGCACGCGAGGACAAAACCTGGCTAGAATAAGCCAACGGCCGCTGGTCCTGCATCAACACCACCCCAATGCCATGCCCCGATGCGTCAGATTCAACCACAAATAGCTTTGTAAAGTCCGGCAAAGCGAACACGGGAACCGTCGTCATGGGCCGTCTTGAGTTTGTTGAATGCCTCCTCCGCGTCCGCATTCCAACAAAAATTATCTTTCTTAAGCTGCTAAGTTAGAGGCCATGCAATCGACCCATAACCTGCAACAAATCGCCAGTAATACCCCGTAAGGCCCAAGAATCCCCGCAATTCCCGAATAGACTGAGGCACCGGCCAATTAACCATAGCCGCGATCTTAGAATCATCCGCAGCCACTCCCACCTCCGAGATGATATGGCCAAGATATTCAAGCTTCGATCGGCCGAATTGACGTGCTTGTTTGGAACCATTTTTTAAAATGATTTTCACGTATTTCGAGAAGCAAAAAATGAAAATGAAAACAAAACGACATTTATTTAGCAAATATTTTGAAAATGAAAACGAAAACAAAAACAGTGAGAATGGATTTTGTGAAGGAATTAGAAAACGGTTGAAAGTTGTTTTCACTTTCTGTTTTCATTTTTTAGTACTTATCAACAATATTATAATATATTAATTAATATACACGATTTCATTTTTATTATACTCAAAACAATCTCTTAAAATATTAACCAAACGCAGTTTCAGAATCGGTCTCATAATGATCCTCAAAACAATCTCATTTTTACTTTTTAGTGAAAATAAAATTATTTTGGAACCAATTTTAAACGCACCCGACATTTCCCCCTGATTGTCAGCGAGGATGCGGAGGACAGTACCCAAACGCTCCCCACGTTCTTCCATCAAACGACTATACACGAGGATGTCATAAAAAATAGAAAAAAAAAGCACAAACTTTTGCAGCTGCTCCTTGAATATCTCGTTCATTAAGGCTTGAAATGTCACGGGGGCGTTGGTTAGCCCAAAAGGCATAACCAAGAACTCGAAATGGCCATCATGCGTTTGAAACACGGTCTTGGGAACATCCTCCGGACGCACACGGATCTTATGGTAACCCTACTTAAGGTCTAGTTTGGAAAACACTCGTGATCCATGCAACTCGTCCAGCAACTCGTCAATCATCGGAATAGGGAACTTGTCTGGAACGGTAACCTTATTCAGTGCATGATAGTCAACGCAGAACCGCCAACTCTCATCTTTCTTCCTCACCATGCTCAGCTGGATGATTCCCGCTCCTAGCATTTCTTTCACCAACTTCTCTATCTCCGCCTTCTGAATTTGGGGATAACGATAAGGCTGAACATTGACCGGGCTATTCCCGGTTACAGAGTGATGTCGTGGGCGTGGACGTGGGCGTGGGCCCGAGGTAGCCTTTTCGACCACTCAAACACCTGATTGTAACAACTCAACACAGCTTCAATGGACTTGGAAGTCTCCTCGTCTACACTAGTCTCCACCACCGAGATGGTCCCAAGCTCGAGTAACAACCCCTCCCCTTGGTCTTTAAAGGCTTTAACCAGAGCCTTTAGAGAAACCTGGGACTTGCACAACGTCGGATCCCCCTGTAATATAACAAATACACCCCATTTCATTGTCAAGGTTCGCCAGTTGACTTGCATTCCCCCCAAGGTCTCCAACCACTCCATGCCCAAGATAACATCGGCACTGCCCAGCTCTAGGGCTAGGAAATCCTCAACCACATCTATGTTTTGAAGGCTGAGCACCACCCCCTTACACATCCCCTCGCCCTGCACCGTTAGTCCCGTTCCCATCAACAACGCATAGCCGCTAGTCCGCACCATCGGAATTGCCAACTTTTCCACCAATTCCACCGAGATGAAATTGTGTCACCCCACAATCCACCAACACCACCACTTCATGCTGGGCAATCCTACCCTTGACCATCATTTTGGGTGAAGTCAACCCCACCACCAAGTTTATTGGGAGTTCCACCATCTCCCCTACCTTCGGTCCAGCATCACACTCCCCTTCTTCGGGGGTCTCTTGTTCCAGTACCCCCAAGTCATCGTTCACCACCAGAACATGGAGCTCCCTATTTTTGCAACAGTGCCCACACGGTATATTTCTCATCGCACCTAAAACATATTCCCTTCTAGCTTGAAGTTCAGCATCAGTCAAACGCTTGAAAGTACAGTTAGGTTTTTGACCTGTAGGTTTGGCGTTGGTCGGCGTTGCCTTTGGGACTGAAGGGAGCTACCCCGAGTTACTGTGGCTGAAACTGTACCCCAACTGCGTGGCTCACGACCCCACTGAATTAGGCCTGGCCCCTTTGAAAAGAGAATTTCGGTCTTCCACTCTTTAAACGAACTCCATTATGCGGCCCAGCTCACTGGGTTTCATCATGCGGACCTCGGCTCGGATCTCGGGCTTAAGCCCAATAATGAAATTGCTCTCCAACACGTGCTCCGGCACATCCTCCGGCGTGGCCAGGATCTCAAAACTCTGGCGATATTCCCAAACAGTGTCCTCTTGCTTCAGGGCCAAGAACTTCTCACATGCAGATCCCTCTTGCGTGAGACGGAAACGGTCAAGTAAGTGCGACTTGAGCTCAGCCCAGCTCCGTATCTGCCGCCGCCCGTCCTCCCACTGGAACCAAGCCAAGGCCTCACCGTCCATGCTAATCGTCACTGCCTCAGTTTCTCGGCTCCGTGAGACGATTAAGTGCAAAATCAACTCGGCAGACCCACCCCTCCGAGTTGTCTCCGTCGAAGATTGGCATTTCCATTCGCTGAGCTCGCGGGTCGACCCAACCGTTCTCCTCCTTTGCCAACTCGCGGGTTCCCCCAGGGTGTTTGCCCGCCCACTTCAGTCGCCGCCGATTGTTGCGAAGAAGATTTTGGGAAGATCGCCTTCCCGAATCGCACCGAAAATGGACCTGGTTTCGCCAATTCCTCCAACCGCTTGACCGCCTAGTCCATCTTCTCCAGTAGCGCCAGCTTCTCCAGTATGGACCGCACGCTTTTCTCCAGCACCGAAAGCTTCTGCAAGTCCCCTTTCACCGACTCCAGTTCCTCCGCCATGGCTGCTACTTGAGGCTCCATCTTACTTCTGGGCATGCCCAAGACAAAGGTGCTCTGATACCAGATGATAGAAACCAGAAGGAAATCGAAATAGAAAGGAAAACTGATAATGTATTGTATTGATAATTTCTCTAATAAAATGGAAATAACAAGATAGATGTTGGATTTCGAGAGATCCAACCCTCTCCCACGAGACTCTCACTCATTGCCTACCTCTCCTCATAACAAACCTTCCCTCTATTCTAACTGAGACTCGCAGATCCCCATACATCATACCATATCTTCCCAAAATAACCCTACCGCCAAAAATACCAAACTCTCAACTCACAACCCACGTGCTCTGCACGCTCACCCTCCACTCACGTGCTTTGCACGTCTAGCATAGGTAAAACGTATTGGGGGCTTATCAAAAATCTATACACAGAAAAATGAAAAACACGCATCAAATTGGATTTGACAATATTGCAATTGATAGACGGAGCTAACTACGAATGAATTGAGTAAGTTTACACTGAGCTACCATTAGTAGAAGTTCTAGACTAGAATGAATCCATCTGTTTCTGTTTTTAAGAACTCATTGGCACAGGATTAGGATTTCGAAGAGAGCAAATTACGTGCAAAATGAGGAAACGAAAGTGCATGTTTCCTTTAATTTGAAAACAAAAGAGAACTAATTCAATGTGTCAATTTGAAGATACGATTGTTGTTAACAAGCAAGAATAAAAGCATGTCAAACTGAAAATATGATCGTTGTTAACAAGCAACAATCAAAGCAATCTTTCCTTCTCTTTCCAGGTGGGATGGGGGTTCTTTTCAATAACATGAAAACCACCAAATTCACCAGTCGTTTTTAATAACCCAGAAAAATAGCATGTTTTGGAAGAGAATCTAAAGAGGTGTTGCCACCAGTACTGTAAAAAGAAGGAAAACCTAATCCAATCCCAACATTGAAGGCAAAATTAAGAAAACGTCCAAAAAAACCTAAAGAGCACAGACAATTAATTGCGTTAGGTAATAAGGAATCTATTTCATTCGAGACCTAATAATAAGCATCGGCTGCGGATTAACCAAATTAAAAGACATTGACTTCAAAGTTTAGACGCACTGCTATGCCTAAAAGCTTCAAACTTTGTCCTCATTTGAATGCTTAGAAGTCATCCAACAAAACAACAATGTTTCCCCAGGGTCTACTTAAGAGAACCAACATGAAGTACATTCAATCAAAGAAGTCGATAAAGAACATGAAAACATTGAAAACTCATTGCATGAAACAAAGAAATACGAGCTAATCAGAAACTACTAATACCCATGCTAATAACAAAGTGAAGCAAAGAAGTCAGGTTCCTGAATTGCACTAAAATAACATTGGTTGATATAATCTCTGTACTGAATCCAATTAGTCGAAAATGCGATAGCAGATAAGAGAAACGAAGTCAGTCGCGAAACTAATAAACCTAAACAAGCTCGGAAAAGTTTGCAGCCATTTCTTTTTCTTCTTTCCTCTGAACCCAGCCAGATAGAGAAGAAATAGATTTCAATTAAACCCGAGCATTTCGGAAAGCATTTGCCTTTACCATACTTGCGACCAATTCCAAAGTTAAGCAATTCGCAATTTCTAGAATGACTCCTAAATCCATCTAATCTAGACCTTAATTCAGAAACAAAGATAGGCCGCAGAATTACGAAAGAAAGCAAGAAGAAAAACCTAATTCCAGATCCGGTTGCGAAGATAAGAACCGTGGGGAACTCCTCCGGCGGCTGAATTCGATCAACATCAAAGCCATTCCCCATGACAGGGCCCAGCTCCACGACGTCCCCTCTCTTGAGGCCGCAGAGGATCTCCGCCGAGGATCCGGCCACGCTCTTCACCAAGAACTCAAACACTCCCTTCCCGGCCGCTAGCGACGGTGGCGACGCGATCGCTAGGAACGACGGCTTCTCGGAGTCGGGGACCTTGAGCTGGAGGTACTGGCCGGCGCGGTTGTGGGAGGCGGCGAGGTCGGGGGAGTCGGAGAGGTCGACAGTCACATGGAAGAGGGACTTGGCGGCGGGCTCGACAAAGGAGAGAGGGGCGGGAGTCCAGACAGCGATGTCCTGGCGGAGTGCGGCGGCGGCGACAGCGAGGCGGCGCCGGTGGTGATGGTAGGATTGGCGGTGGTGGAGGGTCAGGTGGCGCGGGATAGACATGGGAGGGAGGAGGGGGCTAGGGTGCGCATGGGTGCGCAGGGGAAGAGGGGCTGGTGAGAGGGCAATTGATGACATCTTTTTTATGTTGATGGGGTTTTTTAACTTTTAAGACGGCCGAGTCTTCGAGAAAGTTTGGGCTTTGGCGCAAATGGCGGCGGCGAAGACCCGTAAACCGCTGGGGAGTGTGGTCAGATTGTGCTTACTGCTAACAAGCTACTACTGCTCGTGGATTTTGAAAGTCCACGTGGCGCAGTTATGGATGATTATAATCCAGATTTGCTGGAGTAGACGCAGCAGTTTTAGCCGTTGGATGCACATCGTTTGTTGTGTTCTCTCTCACTTTTTTCCTTGTTTCTCTTGTTTTCTCCTTGTTTCTCTTGTTTTCCTTTTCCTTTTTCCTTTATTTGCCTTGGATTACATCGCACGTGCAATCTGTGGTAGCACAGGCTCGGAATGTTTCCCCACCCCAAATACTTGACATTAAGATAAAATAAAAAAAATAAAAAACAAAATACGTATTTACAACTGTTTTTAAAAATGATTTTCACGTATTTTATAAAATAAAAAATAAAAATAAAAGTGAAACGATGTTTATTTAGTAAATATTTTAAAAATAAAAATAAAAACGAAAACAGTAAAAATAATTTTGACGAATAAATTAAAAAATAGTTAAAAATTATTTTTATTTTTTAATACTTATCAATAATATCATAATATATTAATTAATAAATACGATTTTATTTTTCTATTATATAAAAAATAATATCTTAAAAAACCAACCAAACACAATTTTAAAATCAATTCTAAAATTATTCTTAAAATAATTTCATTTTTACTTTTTATTAAAAAAAATCATTTTAAAACTAATTCTAAACGCACCTAAAAATCTAATTAAAAAGATATTTATCTCATTTTTCTAAATTTCAAAAAAACAAAACCTCCGACTCCATGAAGACAAAATTCAGAAAGTATAACTCATAATTTTTCAGCAAAAGGAAAGACTCTCAAAAGAATTTTTTTATAGAATGCAGAATTCTTAAATCGTTCAAAATGCAAAAGTTAAGATAAATCTCGATGATACAAGCTTTTCTATCATCAGGGATGTAAACTTCTACAGGCTTGCGATTGCAAACACTTTGAGAAAGAGTGGCTATTATTTCCAACATTCTCAACCTCTTCAGTTGACAGACTTAAATTTTTAATTCAAGTTAAAATGTAATTTTATAAGAGAACTTATTCCTGTAATAAAAAAAATTAAATGACTTCTTATAAAAAAATTTAATTGTAATAAAATTAAAATTAAAAACTCAAATTAATAAAATGAATGAAGCTTTAATTTTATTCAAAAACACCATATTTCCACTCCTGCTACTTCAATTATCATTCCACCGACTTAGCCCAGAAACAAAAATGGCATCCATATAGCTATATAATTAACAAAAGGGTGGTTAAATCAGCGCATCCAATACACGGAAATAACAAAAGCAAAAATATACATGCCGTCTTTCTCTTTCCCCTTATTGACGAAAAAAACAAAAACAGGAAAGGAAGGGGAGCAAAAAGTTGGATCCAATTATCCATTTCTGAAAAACACCACTCCTCACATAAGGCTTAAGAAGGGAAATTGTAAATTCTCAATAAACATCTGTCCTCGAAAAAAAAAAATAATGAAATCCTGTTTGCCGGCATTGCCAGCAGGCTCCTGAATTATTGATTTTTCGCAACTATCGAGAGAAGGGAACAGATTAGAACTTAGAAGGACATGGCTTAGGCAGCAGATTCCTTGGCAATCTTCTCAGCCTTTGCAATAACCTCCTCGATACCTCCAACCATGTAGAACGACTGTTCTGAAAGGTCGTCGTATTTACCATCCAAAACACCCTGTCAAGACCATAAAAATAAAAATGTGAATCATCAAAGGGTACCAAAATACAACTGCAAGTATTGTTCGAAAACATGTATCAAGTATTTGTTCAAATATCTAGCTATAAAAACATGGGTATGAATCAGTCACAAGAAGCCGCCAAGAATTAAAAAACAGAATCCCGCAAATGAGGAGAAGAGACCCAAGAGGACCAAATGCTTATGGTTAAAGGTCAAGACTGACATAGGATATGAATCTGCTCAAAGACTGATAGGTTTAGTTATCTTAGAGGAGACATACAGCTTTTTGAGATCTACAAGCTGCACGGATCAAATGACGTCCTACTAAAAGCTAGGTGAAGTAAAATAATTTTCTCTCATGCTATTTGGTAGAAGAGAAAGAAAAGTGAAAAGAAAATGTCAAATTTAAGACATTTTACAATAATACCTCAATACAAATAAAAATATGATGAATGGTGAAGGTTAAAATTGTTATTTTACATCTCATTTTTTTGTCAAACTTTTTCCCTCCTCTTTTCTTTCCAAAGTTAGAAGGATTAAAAATTAGTGAGCCCCATGGATTTTCATTTTCCTTCCTCATTTCCTCTCTACCAAACAACCTAAAATTCCATTTTCCTCAACAAAATCCTTCCTCTATTTTCTTTCCTCTCTCTCTTCCACCCTAAATGTCTAGGTGCTCAAATTTATGATGGTTACAAGCAAGATAAATTGACACTTAAAAGCAAGATCATTTAAACACGTTGAGCTACTGGCATTGCTAAAAGTAATATATTATCCAACGGAAATGGATGTCCACAGTGAATTTTCCTCAAAATACTGTGACGACAAGGTAAATCCATGATAACATAATGGGAAAATTTAAGTAAAATTTTAAAAAACAAAATAAAAAGGCTCTGCAGCAGTGCATAAAGTTATTACGAAAGCAGGACAAACATACAGAGAACCACGTATGAATAGAAGGGTTTACCTGGAAGCTGGCAATGCTCTCATTCAACTCGACGTACTTTCCAGGAGCACCCGTGAATACTTCTGCAACATGGAAAGGCTGGCTCAAGAACCGTTGAATTTTACGAGCGCGCGCCACGGTCAACTTGTCATCTTCACTGAGCTCATCCATTCCCAAAATAGCAATGATATCTTGCAGATTCTTGTAGTTCTGGAGAACCTTCTGGACACCACGAGCAGTGCCGTAGTGTCCCTCACCCAAAATGTGGGGAGAAAGCATTCTAGATGTAGAATCAAGAGGGTCGACAGCAGGATAGATACCAAGCTCAGAGATCTGTCAAGTTGAAAACAAGAAGAGTGAGCATATTAAAAGAGGGAATTGGAAATTTTGTTCCAAAATAACACCAAGAAAGGAAGGGAGCAACCTGTCGGGACAACACAGTTGTGGCGTCCAAGTGAGCGAAGGTAGTAGCAGGAGCAGGATCAGTCAAGTCATCAGCAGGCACATAAATAGCTTGCACGGACGTAATAGAACCCTTTTTGGTGGTTGTGATACGTTCTTGCAGGCCTCCAAGATCAGTAGCCAAAGTTGGTTGGTAACCAACAGCAGATGGGATACGTCCAAGCAAAGCAGACACCTCAGAGTTAGCCTGCAGAGAGCAGGGGAAAAAAAATGAGATGACCACCATTAGTAATTGCAAGACCCAAAAGATGGGAAGGAAACATTTGATTGCTGGACAAGTCTATCTACCTGGGTGAATCTGAAAATATTGTCAATGAAGAGAAGCACATCTTGCCCTTCAGCATCACGGAAGTGCTCAGCGACAGTCAGCCCAGTAAGTCCAACACGGGCACGAGCACCCGGGGGCTCATTCATTTGACCGTACACTAGAGCGCATTTGCTTTCACTCTAAAATAATGTAACCAGTCAATTTATAACTCTAATAAACACATTGGATTCTTTATGAGCCTTTCAGGGAAAAAAAAAATAAAAAAACATGGAACTGAATTGTATGACCTGCTTGTCACCTAGCTTAATGACACCACTCTCAATCATTTCCCTATACAAGTCGTTACCCTCACGAGTTCGTTCACCAACACCAGCAAACACAGAGAAACCACCTGATCAAAGAAAAAAGGGAAGTTCTCAACAAACAAACATGTTAATAAAATTAAAACCGGAGCAATTTATATCATGTTTAGTATATGGGTTTTGCTACAGGGCAAACTCATAGTTTTTCTCTGCAGTATTTTTCTCTCACAAAAAATTTGAATTTCAAAAGTCATAATCAAGAACCATGGTTTAAACCCATACACCAAACGGGAAGTTGGAGCGAGCCTCAAAACTAACCATGTGCTTTGGCAACATTGTTGATGAGTTCCATAATAAGCACAGTTTTACCTACACCAGCACCACCGAAAAGACCAATCTTTCCTCCTCTTTGGTATGGTGCAAGAAGGTCAACGACCTGTACATAAAAGAAAAATAAATAAACAGTGTACATTGTATACTATATGGCCTTTAAATAATTCTTTTTCAAAAAAAGGACAGATGCGTAACTGCAAACAATGTTTTTACAAGGGTAATTCAATAGGGAAAAATAATAAACCTTAATTCCAGTAACAAGGATCTGTTGTTCAGTTGCTTGCTCAACGAAAGAAGGGGCTTCTCTGTGAATGGGCAGATAGTGGTCGGTTTCTGTAGTAGTGACAAAACAATTATTACTGGATGTTGAATTTGAATATCTAAACAGAAAACCATTTTTAATTTAACAGATATTTCACACTGTCTAGATTACTTACTGAGGTCGCCTTTCTCATCGATAGGCTCCCCAATAACATTGATGATACGACCAAGGGTAGCCCTACCGACAGGAACCTGAAGGGAATATACAAGATATATTGTGACTAAACAAATACACAACAATCATACCAAACAAGTATAAAATTATCGATAACCAATGGCATAACCAATTTAAAAAAACGAATAAAAAACCCCACAGGCGCCCATGGAAATGTAAACCACCCCTCTTGAGAAATAAATGTTTGATATTTATCTTCAAGCTCAATTGACTATTTTTTTCCCAATCGGAGAAATCTAAATACAATGAATTAGAGATTCCTTTTCCCACATTTTTCCGGAAACCAAACAGAAAAGAACATAGACATCCAGATCCATACATAAAGCAGGATCTCCAAAATCACCATTACTCAACAAAACCCTACTCATTTCCATCCACTCAAACAAATAAAAAAGCAACATCATTTTGCACCAAAATCGACAAAATGCAAGTCGAAAAACGAATCAAAAGCTCAATCAAGAGAACGATTCCGAATTAAAAGTCAAAGCGAGAACTTTACAGTGATAGGCGAGCCTGTGTTGAGCACGCGCTGACCTCGGACGAGCCCTTCGGTACCGTCCATAGCAATGGTTCGCACCATGCTCTCTCCCAAGTGCTGAGCCACCTCGAGCACCAAACGGATCGAGTTGTCCTGCACCTCGAGAGCCGTCAAGATCGGCGGCAAACCCTCGTCAAACCTCACATCGACGACGGCTCCGATAACCTGGCAAACCTGGCCGATCGCGCCGGCACCGGTGAACTCGTCGGTGATCTTCCCACCCTTCGAGGCATCCTTGGGCGGAGCCGGTGGCGCCGGAGATTGCGCCGCCGCGGATGTGGCGTAGTTGGTCACGCGATTGAGGAGGTATCCGGTGGATCGGCGAGCCGGAGAAGGGAAAATCCTAGGGGAAGGGTTTCCGATCGGGGATTTGGACGGTGATCGGCCTACGGACGATCGGAGAAGGGAGGCTAAGAGCCTGCGAGAAGCCATTGTGATAGGGCTTCAAAATGAAATGAGCGAGAGTTTAGTGAGGAGAGAGAGAGACTAGGGTTTGTGGACTTTGTGTGAGGGCTATATGTACTGCTGCGGTGCCCAATTTTTCGAATATTCGTTTTTTTTTTCCTTTTCATTTTACTTTTTACGAGATTTTGGAAATTTGAATGGATGGATCATGATGTGTTGAAAACTACGTCGTTTCAATTTGGATGATTGCTTTTATTTTTTTAGGAAAATAATGATTGTTTTGGCACAACGCACAGGTAGAATTGGTGATTGTTTTTAGACTTGTGATTAAACGGACTTCACTAGGTGAACCAAAAATAGTTGAAATATGTATCTTATAAATAAGGTTGTGAAGGATTTTTGCTTGAATTTTGAGGAACAATAGGAAAAAAAATCATTCCTTGTGTATTTTTTATTGTTTCTTGCACCGATTGGAGGCGATTGACACACGCGACAAAACACCTTCTTCGCCCCTTTTCCGCAATTTAGAGTTTCAACAGGATCCTATTATGGCAAAAGATCGGCGGCCTCTTCCCTTCTGAGTTTCAAATGCTTTCAAGGGGTGGTCCTTTTCTCCCTCGTGATTGGGGTTCCGTACTTGTTTGTCTGGTACTTTAATTGCCGTTAGAGAGGCCTTTTCATGCGTTATTTCAAATGTTATTCTTATATTTTCGACGTTGAGGGACTAATTCTTGTTGGTTTGATCTCTTCGATTTTCTTTAATTTTTATGTCAAAGTTTCTGTGTTTGTAATAAAGGCGCTTTTTTGTTGTTGTTTGATGTTAGTTTTCAATCATTGACTTCTTAGTCCGATTAGAATTTTTTATGTCATGTTGCTTATGCTTCTCTTAATGGGGTTGATGATTGTCCCTTTAGAGCTCGGAAATCTATATCGATGGGAGAGGTTTTTTCAATTAGAGTTTTAAGTGTGCTTTTCATTAGTGTGTCAAGTTTTTCTATCATTTTTGGGTCTCAAGTGTGCATTTATCCTTATGATGGGTCATTAGTATTGTATTGGGTTATATGTTTTTCAGTTTTTGTTTAAATGCAATTTTCTTTTAAAAAAATGTTTCTTACACCGGCACTTCATGAAATAGTCAAACAAAAGAAATAATGCGTGCAAGGAAATAGTCGAGATAGATGAAGGAAGGCTTAACTTATAAATGTGTGTATGTTTTGGTAAGTGGAGGGTTAACAAATATATATATAAATATATATATATAAACGAGTTTTTAATGATTATGTTTTTATAGATGGTGATGACGGGTATTTCTACCAACAAATCAAGTATTTTCAAGCATGAATATTTGTAAGTCTTCAAGCATTTTTGTTAGTTTAATGTCTTTTGTATGCTTTTTATAGGAATTATAAATAAAACTTGGATGATTTTGCATGAAGAAAAGAAGAATATTTGCCCAACTTGTGAATCAATGCCAAGAGGAGGTGAAAGAGGACTTTAAGGCATAAAAGAGGAGGCTTTGGAATGCAAGAAAGCGGGCTACAGCGCGCAAAGGAAAGCGAAGTCAGAATGGGACGCGCGCCCGTACCCGAGCCCGCTGCGCGCCCGCGCCCACATCCAGGGGCGTGCTCGGGCGCGCCCCACATCTAGGCGCGCGCGCCTAGAGCAGGAACGTGCACTGCAGCACGCCCAATGGGCGCTGCAGTGTGCCCAGATGGCAGCCCCGCGCATTGCAGCGCGCCCCAGCCCGCAACAGCGGGATCCTTTTCTGAAAACGCGCGCCGCAGCGCGTTTTCACGCAGGCTGCAGCGCGCGTATGAAGTCCTAGCTCCGAAACTGAGTAGTATAAAAGGAAAGATATGCCATTTGAGAAAGGGAGCCCGGAAATCTGAAGAAAACATCAAAAGGAAGCCGAAATCCTTCATCTTGGAGGTCCTTGGAAGCTCTTCAATGGATATTGGGTTTTATCTTCTTTCATCTATTTTTGCATGTTGAGCTAGACATTAAATCTAGGACTTAATGTAGTTTTATTTGAACTATGTTTTGAATTTTTTGTTGATTGTTAATTTAATTTCGTTTTCAATTCATTTATGTTTCTCTATGCTTAATGCTTCTAATTTATTTGGCCAATGAGTTAGATGATTTTTAGATTGCGAATTTGATGCTCGAGAGAGATTGAGTTCTTTATCTAGATTTGAGAAACATAGTCTAGGTTGTTGTGAGACCGAGAGGAGATCAACGGTTAGATAATCAAATTAGGATTTAGGTCGTTGTGAGGCCGAGAGGCGATCAATATTCCTATTTTCTAATTCTAAAGGCGAAGCTTAATTTGTGTTTTAATATTCATTTCGAATAGGGATATTGTTTTGGGTATTTAAATACAATTCTTTGTGAGGCACTCGAGAGAGGTTGCAAGGTGACATTAGAGCCTTGATTAATGAATTGAACAGAATTGATTAGCGATTACATAATAGGATGAACATAGGAATAATAAAGCGAAATCAAGTCCACAGACCATTTGTGTATAGATACTTTATTTTTATTCTTTATATTTATTTTGTTTTTTGTTCTCAATTATCATCTTATTAGGTTGCCTAGATAAAGTTAAGTTACAATAATCGCGGTACTTAACGGCAATTCTAAACCCAATCCCTGTGGAGACGATACTCACTCATCCTATATTCAAAACTTGACACCGTACGCTTGCGGAAATTTATTATACAAAAATATTAAGCATCAAGTTTTTGGCGCCGTTGCCGGGGATTGGCATTTTAAATTGTTGTTAATATTATGAGTACATAACTTGACTTTAATTTAGGCTTTTATTTCTCATTTTTAATCTTTTATTTTATTTTTGTTTTCCTTTGTGTTACGAGGTACTTGGAGATGGTTGATCGACAAGTCCTCTTAAGATTTGCTCAACGAGACTCCGAGCCATTTTTTAGTGCTTGGGAGAGATACAAGGAGCAGCTCATTCAGTTTCCCGACCATGGTTTTCCGAGGGAGGTGCAACTACAAATCTTCCTCGACGGGTTATATGCCGCAACAAGAATGTGGGTGGAAAGAGGAAATGGTACCACCTCTTTTCACCAACTATCCGTGGATGAAGCTTATTGGTGGTTGGAAGACATGGCCGATGTTAATTATCGGTATTGGAGGTATTCAATAAACCACCACAGTTTTGAGGATAACTCCAACATTTCGGAGCCATGGCTTGACACCCCCCGTCACCAAGCGGAGTCTTCTCTAGACCTTGAAGACCTTGTCGCCTAATTTCCGGAAGAGACAAGACTCCGCATAGAGAAGTTAGAGAGGATGGAGGCGCTTGACCAACTTCACGAGGAAATGAAAACAAATCTAGCGGGGTTATTTAGGTTGAAGCTGCCTCTAGATGAATCTACTAACACCATGAATAGAGAAACACAAGAGGAGGATTGGGAGTTATTTGATGATGACTCGTTGAAAGAGGATGAGACTCAAGAATTGGTTAGTGAAGAATTTCAAGAATATGTCAATGAGTCTCAATCCCTCGAGATCCCCATTGTCGTGCCACCCCTGGTTGAGAAAGATCACATCTATGAAGACACAATGTGGCCGGCAACTCCCCCACCATCTCGAGCGCCGTTCTTCCGTGCCAACCAAGCGCATATGCCGACGCCAAGTCGAGTTGAGCAAATGAGCCGAAAACTGCCAAATCTCGCCAAGCTTGAGGGTGTAAAGAATCAAAACCCGTACGTTGTGTTGTATGACACGTACTATAGGCGAAAGCCACTATTTGACGAGTTGGCTCGGCATAGGAATAATTGAGCCTAAAGACGCAATTTATGGAGGAGAGCCCCGCCCTAACCCGAGCTTATGCCATCATGCCCGGTGCATCATCGCTAACCATACTAGGAGGCGAGACTGTCTCGCCTCCCCGGTACGTGTTCTTATTCCCTCGTTATTAATTTTAATGATTGTTTGATTTTGAGTTTGGGGGTGAGACACTTTGTGGTTGATTTTAGTGGATTTTGAGCATTACTTGTGAGTTGGTTGTTATGACTTGTCTCCATTGAGTTGTGTTCTTTTGGCCATATTTTTACTCATTTTTCTTTTAGGTTGTTTGAATAAATTGTGAGTTTTGTTGAGATGAAATGACTAGATAATAATGATTATAATCACTTGATGCTTTCTTAGGTCTTTTGAAATGTATTTCATTGAGATTTTTGTGTGCTTGGCTCGCATTGATTGAAATTCACTCTTAATTCTCTACATTTGAGCACCATGAATCATGATCACTTGATCTTTTGAGCATTTGGAGAACATTTATGTGCATTATGTAGACTTTGATATCTCATGAACACTAGAACCCATTTGAGTGAAACTTGAGGCGAAATTGTTGGTTTAGTATCATTGGAGAGAAGATTAAGGCATTTTATTCGGATCGATTGGGCCTTTGAAGCTAACCCTT